AAGGATAGGCCATGATAGATTGAATTGTTTGAGTAAGAGACGGAACATGTGGGATAAGCCAATGGTTAGAGAAATCAAGAGATAGGTGCTTGGGGCTGGCCCTGTGGCCAAGTGGTTGAGTTCACGTGCTCCGCTTAAGTGGCCCAGGGTTTCGCCTGTTCGGATCCTGGGCATGGACCTAGCACCGCTCATCAAGGCATGCTGAGGCGGTGTCCCGCATAGCAGAGCCAGAAGGACCTACAACTAGAATATACAACTATGTACTGGGGGGCTTTGGGGAGAAAAAGAAAAAAAAAAGAAGATTGGCAATAGATGTTAGCTCAGGTGCCAATCTTTTAAAAAAGAAGATTTTCTTTAAAAAAAAAAAGATAGGTGCTTCATAAGTGTTTTCTAACAACAAAGAAGGCATTAAGAGCTGTCTGAAGTATATGTCTTCAGCAAAATCCGTCACAATTTCCTGACTCTGTTAACTCGTTAATTTTAGAGTACAATTTCATCTCTCCCAAGGAGTTACTAAGTTTTTTTTCTAAGGTAACTAATGAGATTAAGGATGTAAAAAAACAAGTTATTTTTCTAAGCTTTTATGTGGGTCTAACTAGCTTAATGATTTCAAACCCACTGCAGAGGGCAGACGCCAGATTTCCTCTGATTCACAAAGGGGTATCGTATCTCCTTTTTGTGGTAGAATTGAATAATGGCTCCCACAACAATCACTCAGTAGGAAAGTAGCCACTTGAGGAAGGGCAGTCAAAAGCCCAGCTTGCTTCGGAATAAACAACACTAAAAGCATGTAGTGTGGAACGAAGAAAATTCCTCTCCTAAAACTGGTTTTATTGCTAAGCATTACTAATATCTGCAGAGTTATATACTGTCATCTGGACTCTTCAAACAGCCAAAATCAATACTCTTTCAGAGCAGAAATTTTATAATTAAGTTAAATGGAAGGTGTAGCCCCCATTGTTCCTAGATGCTATGACATAATTCACTCCAGCTCATTTTAACAGGAATTTCCAGAAGTTAATGAAGTGGGTATACAGGCTCACAATGCAGAATAGAGAGTCCAGAAGACAGTCCAGAAATAGGCTCATACATATACAGTCAGCAAATTTCTGACAATGTTGCCAAAGTAGTTCAAAGGGCAAGAGAAGATCTTTTCATCAATGGGTGTTGAAACATTTGGATAATATACGTAACAAGGGAGGAAAGAGGAAGGAAGGAACCTGAGCATGGATCCGAACCCTGGGCTGCTGCAGCAGAGTGCTCGAACTTAACCGCTCGGCCACGGAGCCAGCCCCAGGTATATTTAAATCTAAATTAAATAAAAATAAAAATGTAAAAGTTTCTCAATCACACTAACCACAGGTCAGAAGTTTGAAAGTCACTGAAGAAATTTCTATTGGACAGCACTAATATAACATTACTTACAAGGAAAGCACATTTTTTTCAGATTCAAATAGAAAAATATATTAATTCTCCATTTTGTTCAGATCTATACTGAAAACAGTAGAAGTACTTAGAAATAGCACATATGGAGGCTGGGTGATGGAAACTCAAAGCTTTGAATATATTGTATTTTTGGTGGGAGAAGAGATTATTTCAGAAGGTTCTCGATTGGAACACAGGTAGGTAATCACTGGAAGTCCCCATTTCTGTCCTGTACTCTGACCAGAGCCCGTAAATAAAGGTCTGTGAAGGAGTGAGTCTATCGAACATTGGAGGGAGACACGTGAAAGCAGGAGTAAGGGCAGATTTGCACGGAAACTTGTATGACCCTCAAGCATCAACCTTCACCGTCCACACAGGCAAAAGATCAATTCCTCTCAAGAATTTTCTTTTTTTTTTTTTAAGCATATACCTAAGTGGTGTAATGTGCTCCCACCAGAAAAAACACATCATTACTGATTCTCAATTTCAGGAATTTCGTGGATAGAAATATTAATAACATGAAAATAATATATTTTATAAGGACCTTCCATGTATTAAACATAAAATCAGGCTCCAGTTAATTAATAGTAATCCCTGTTTTGGGGCTTCTCATAGCTACTGCTATATGTATCATGAGATGCATAATGTGCTGTGATGGTTTGCATGATAACCTCATCTTTTCATGGGATCCGGTTTTCCAAATTTCTCATAACATAAAGAATAGCCATTCCCATATTTTCCATTTCTATTTGTTAGAGCTTTCACTAAATATTGTTAAACGGTTGTTTTCCTTTAAAGAGACATGTGAAGCTATCATTGCGGAGAAATTCTGCAAAACGATAGTTAGGCATTTTACCTCCCATCAACTCAGACTTGTGGAGTGGCCCCTCTCATTAGGCCTCCCATCATTTATGAGATGAAGCTGCCCCTAGGAAGATAGGCATTTCTCAAGAGGTATTTATCAGGCCATGGGATGAATTTTCCATTTCTATTGCTGGTCATGCTTTAATGTGTTTGTAGAAGAGATAGTGAAATTGAAATTGGACCGGTCCTATCTCTCCATGCCAGCTGAGAGCTGGCAGGCTGGAAAATTTGTGGTGTGTGGGTCTCACTCTCTTAAAGTAAAGACTGAAGGTATCTTTAAGGGACTTTTTCTTAACTTCTGGGCGAAGACACACTCTGCCACCTATTTGCATATGCAGGAAGGGCCAAGCTCCTTAACATAGTAATGAAAGCCCTCTGATGACTTACTTCAACTCAACTTTCTCAAGTCAACTCTTACCATGTAACCTGCATTTCCTCAGCATCCCCATGTGTCCTGCATTTCTTTGTCTTTATGCCATTCCTCACACTGTACTCTTGACTCTCTAACCTTCAGCTCTGCTCTGCCCATTGAATTCTTTCAAGATAAGTCTCCAATCCACTCTATTTCTAATGAATCTATTTCATAAATTATGAGGAATGGTCACAAAGGAAGCATTCGTTGGCGAAGTCATACTTAGTCATACATAATAGATTGTCAATCAACTCATGCTTTTCAAAAACGATTTATTAAACAAGTGGTTCTACGCCATAAACCATGCTGCACATACATTCAGTTACAAGTAACAATAACAACAACAAAAATCAAACAAAGATTTAAAAAACAAGGGAGTTATTTTTCTCCCACATATAACAATCCCAGTTCAAAATAGATACAATATAAAAGATTTAGGCTCCATTTATCTTTCTGCTCGGCTATCCTTACTGGAGAACTGTCACATTTATGGTAACAAGATTCTGTTCCACATCCAGACGTCTCTTCCACACTCCTGGTAAGAAGAATTCGGGGGACGGAGGCAGTATCTGGAATGATGGAGCAAGGACCAGGAAAATATACTCCTCCATAAAAGCAATGAGAGCACAAGCAAAATGGCAAATCCACTTTTTAAGAACGTTGGAAATTAAGCAAAAGCTTGCAACAATCCAAGTAGAGTTTATTCAAGGATAATGACAGAACTTCAGTAAAAACAGAGAGGTTTCTGATGTTTTAACTTGCCCTCTACCCTTTCCTCTCCCCCCATCTTTGTGGGAGCCTTGAAAACCAACCGACTCCTGACCGCAGGCTATCTGAAGACCAGCAGCCTAGCTGCCACGGATGGGGAAGAAGTAGATTAGAGCCCCAGTCTCCATCCTCAGTGAATGGTGACTATCTGACCCGTATGGAAGCTCCCTGGAAACCCTCACTTTCAGAGCTTTTCTTTATTTGACCTCACTCAGAAGTCACATGCTCTAAACTCTTTTCCTCGAGACATTTATTAAAAATAATCAGTGGCAATTATTTCATATCACTGCTGCCTGAGGAGGGGACAACATTCAGACAATATAAGAAGGTCACAAAAAAAGTTAAAAAGAAAATCGAAGGAATAAGATGCTCATAAAAGGTTTTGAAAAACTCCAGCATACTCTTGGAAAGCTGGAGGCCCACATGCATTTGCACGGCTGTGTGTATTCTCAGCAAAGACCTTAGAAGGTCCTCAAATCTCACCTCTGGTGAACCTTCAAGCTTTGAGCGAGCATAAAATCAAGATGAAGACAGAGTTGGAAACCACAGAGGCATTGAAAACGGGCCCACAACACAAACGCCGAGTTCTGCAGCAAACACTGGGCACTCATTGGTTCAAAGTATTTAAAGAACATCTCTGTCCAAGTGCTAGCTGACACGAAGCTAAGTGAAGCAGAAACTTCAGTGGCTGCACATGATAAGCAATGTAGACTTTACAGAATTCGTTCAAGAAAGTCATTAAAGAAGTAAACAGCAACAGCAAGAAGAAGAAATATCAATAATAACAAACTCTGATGTTTATAAAAACAACTTATTAAATGGCTACATTGTGCATTACTCTGGGTATGAAAGTAAAAAGATAGACTCTCTAATTGAGGTCTCATAAAGCCGTGTACCCTTCTTTGCAAAACTTGCCACCAAGGTCATTTGCATTAGGTTGTAGATCATTTGATTATTGCTGGGTTCCCCTGTTAGGGTGTACATTTCTAAAGATAGAGATCATGGGTTTTTTACCACTATTTTATCCCCAGTGCCCAGCCCAGTAACTTGGCACAAAATAATCAGTCAATAAATACATGTTGAAAGAACCTGAAATGAATCAACTTTGAGAATATTTTGATCGTCAGTAAAGGAGAGATTTTAACTCCCAGGGCTGAATTAAGAAAATGGACATTCTTTAATCGAAACAAAATCAAACACTTCAGAATAAATTCTATAGTTGATTTTTAACTTAAAAAATATTGTAAGTTTGTAAAGTGCTACATTTTAAACATATTTTTTAAAAATATTTACTTGAGAGGCTGGCCCAGTTGCATAGTGGTTGGGTTCAGATGCTCCACTTCAGTGGCCCAGGGTTCATGGGTTCGGATCCCAGGTGCAGACCTACACACTGCTCATGGCACCTTGCTGTGGTAGCATCCCACATACAGAATGGAGGAAGATTGGGACAGATGTTGGCTCAGGGACAATCTTCCTCAAGCCAAAAAAAAAAAAAAAACAGAGGAAGATGGGCAACAGATGTTAGCTCAGGGCCAAACTTCCTCACCAAGAAAAAAAAAATTACTCAAAATAGTTGTCTCTTTTTTACTACTAAAGAGCAGATAGAAATTTGTGCAGACTTATGTTCTCTATGATACTTTTGTTACTTAATTTTAATCTTTATTTTGCTCAAAAGCTTGCATCAGAAGTTCAGAATATCAATTCTTTCTCTTTTTAAAGCATGGAAGATTTTAAAAACTACATTTTCTATATAACTTTTATTATATCAATAAAATTTTTTCTCAAAATTAAAAATTCAGGCTAGTTAGGTGACTTTGAAAACACACAAGACAGAAGACAAGAAAGACAATGCCTCCAGGCCTTTAAAGAGAAAATTACTTCTAATATTTTCTTGCAGTTTCTTTCAGCATTTTTACCAGGGCTGTTTGTTTAAATATAGTTATAATGATAGCATTGCTATATCCACAGGTTATAGATGGAAAAGGAATAAATGGCAACTTGGAAGCAAATAATATCTATCAATAAGTGTTTTCTTTGTATTTCCCAACTTAAAAATATGCAATGTATGTCATTCAAAGTGAGATTTAAAGACGAATAAAATTAGTATTCAAGTTCTTTAATAAATGGCCATTTTGTTGCCTTTCATAACTTTGTTTGAAGAGGAGTGAAGATTAAATTTATTTTTTTAATAGGTAGTTCTCCAATCTCAGAGAACAAATTAGAGAAATATTTTACCAAAATTGATAACCATTGAAAGAGAAAACTAGCAATCACATTAAGTGGGCGTGAAGTTGAGCACAAGATTCTGCTTCCATGTGAGGGGAAGAACAACACTGAGAAAGGGGATCCTTGTGAGAAGAGTAGGTAGATGTGTAAGCATTGAGGGAAATGACTCCACGTGCACTACCTGACAGAACAAACAGCTCAACTGGATTCCAGAACTTATGATGAAACCCCGGAAGGGAAGGCTTGCAAGTCCTTTGAAACAATGAATGATTTGCTTTTAAACTCATAGCTTCAATGCACGTTGGTATGTTTTCAAGGGTTTGGAATTTTTCCTTAAAAATTTATAGTATATTTTCCCAATTCTTGTATATCTAAAAATGTCTTTAATGCCTTTCTGCATAAAACACAACTTCTCTGGGCATACACTTCTTGAGTAACAGACATTTATTTCAAAAAATGTTGACTATGGCATAATTGTCTCCTGAAATCAGGTGCAAAGGAAAAAGATAAGCCAACAAAGTTTCACACCTTTATGTGTAAAATATTCTTACTCCTCCAATACTTCCAGAGTCTATCTAAACATTTGTAACTCAAAAAAAAAAAAAAAAAACCATAGTGGGAAGGCTGTGCATGTGTCGGGGCACGTTGTTATTGGGACTTCTCTGTTTTTTCTGCTCAGCTTTGCTGTGAAGCTAAAACTGCTCTAAAAAATAAAGTCTATTTTAAAAAAAGAAAAGAAAAACAGCTATGTGGATTTAGAAATGAATCTGTTCCCACTTTTAACTCCAAAGTACAGTCATCACTTTGTAGATGAATCATTCACAACTTAATTGTACTATCACATTTTCGAGATTTCTCTGCAGTCCTTTCTTAACTCAAGCTTCTCTGTATTCATTTTATCCTGTTGAGGTTTTATCCTCTCTCTCCTCTTCTTATGTATCACTGCTTCTGTTTCTTAGAATTCACTCTGCCTTACAACCTATTAAGGATGTTAAGCAGTTTTCTATATTTTTCTTCTTATTAACCTAACAAAGCAATTGAAAGCTATGATCAATTCTATCTATGACTCAAGACGCTATTCACTTGCCCTTTTGGAATTTCACAGAATACCAAAGAACGACATGGGTGTCATTCTTCAGTTTTCCTGTTTTGCTTCATGAAATTAATACCAAAAATCTATAAATGCTCAATTTGTGTAATTAAATACATATTAATAATGCTTAATATATTTATTAAGGGGTTGCATTCACATTAGCAATAGGTGCTTATATAATTAGCTTCAAGAAAAGAGAGAAGCCGACAGATCTCCTTTAACTTTGAGGATTGCATTTTTTCCTTTTTTTGCTTTCAATATATCAGACTCAGGGTCGCTGCCAACCTCATACTTTACTTTGAAACATCAGCATCATTCTGTAAATATCCCAGCTGCTGCTGGAGTCTTCAAGATAGACTGCGATGCAGACAAGGAGATGAAGTGGAAATGAAACGAAAGGAGCTTTGTTCTTGGTTGCCAGAACATTTAAAGTTCTCATTCTTCTTCTTCTTCTTTTCGAATCTCTTGGGCAGTTCTCCTCTCATTCCAAAATGGACACATTACAAATGGAAAATCAGTGGGCAGCAGATAAGGACTTGGTAATTATGAGACTGCTAGGTGGTAAGATTAGGAGCCTATAATTTAAAGCAATCACTGACGAAGCTTTCTAATTCGTATCGGGCAGAAAAAGAGAGTGCATTTGCGCTGACAAAATCTTTTCCAGTCCTCATTTGCCATTATCAGCAGACAACACTTTTTCTGTGGCAAATGTGTCTTGACTATTAAAACAGTCGACCGTATTTGGCTGAGAATTAGTCATTAGTAGACAACTAGAACAGAAAGAGAGCAAAACATTACAATATTAAAATGTAATTGTAATATAAACAAAACGGTTGTGGAATGTTAGATTTTTCTGATCAGGAACAGTCCTGGAAACCGGTTTAATTCAACCTTCATATGCACCATATCTAATTCATTCTGTAGTAGGATTTTTGTCTCTGATGACTCGTGCTGTGAAATGTTCCTTTTATTCTCAATTCTGGACGTTGAAGAGCATTTAACCAAAGCTCTAGGGAACTGATTTAAACGAACCCAGCCTTCTGGAGGCCAGCGCAGCAAATCGCAACAGAGAACGCCAATATATTAGTTTAGAATGTTGAGGAAACAGACAATTTTCCAATGACCAGCATACATATGCTTGGTCTCTGCGGAAACTCTTGTTCCAGAAATAGGCTTATTAGACAGAATTGAGCACATTACCCAACAAGCACAAATGATAATAACAAATGCTTTGAAGATGATACATACATTTAAATGTATATCTTTAAAGGGTATTTTTAAGCATGCCTATGAAAACGTTGCTATATAAAAAGGAGAACCAGAAATGCCGGTGTCAAAGTTCATGATTAGACATGGAGGTGACTTGTATTGAAAAAGAAAATATCTAAAAGTCAAATAAAAATACATTCCTTAGTAAACTTCATGGACTTCCAGTAAAAATGAAAATAAAACAAAAGTACAATATTTTTCTCTTTTCCTTTTTTTTTCTGCTTCTTCAACATCTGTGCCACCAAAGTCACGTAGGATAAGTATAGTTTTCAAAATTTGACAGAGAGCTACAATAAAATATTTTCCCTGAAATTTGTATATTTTTGGTATCTTACTGCAAAACCAAGAATTCCGGGGCTACCAAGAAGTAAAATGAAATGTTGCTTATACCGTGAAATAGAAATAATTGTTCCAGAAAAACAACAAATGCCTAGAACATACTGAGACACAACTTTTTGGATCATTTCTCCCTTCCTTGCTCATTTACAACACCAATTTTAATATGTAGTTCATTCTCATACTGGTCTAGAGCTTCACTGGTCTATGTTGTTTTGAACATTGCAGCTTTATAGAGCATCTCAGAGCTGTGTGAGAATGGGGCTATCTTAGAGCTGGACCCGCACAGGTCTATGCTTACCCCTGGGGATGCCTCAAAGTGCGGTCCTGACTGTTGGCTACAATAAGAACGAGATGGGTTGGCTAATGATTTATAACGTGCTGTTTAAGGTTGGAAACGTGCCTGGAGTCACTCTGCATCAGCTTGTTTAGGGATATATAGGTTGATGCTGCATCAGCTTTAACTGGCTACATACTCTTGCTTCAGCTACATGCCAGCAGGAGATAAGAGATGCCTTCAGTACACCTCTGCCTGGTCTCTGGCGTTGAGTTCTATTTCTCAGTGGTTCAGAAAGCACATCCCATGAAAATGAGAAAGGACTGCAAGGGTAGAGGGAAAGTAGCTGCACATGGACATTTTTTAACTACTCCATGATTATTATTATTTTTTTAAAGATTTTACTTTTTTCCTTTTTCTCCCCAAAGCCCCCCAGTACATAGTTGTACATTCTTCATTGTGGGTCCTTCTAGTTGTGGTATGTGGGACGCTGCCTCAGCAGGGTTTGATGAGCAGTGCCATGTCCGCACCCAGGATTCGAACCAACGAAACACGGGGCCACCTGCAGCGGAACGCGCGATCTTAACCTCTCGGCCACTGGGCCAGCCCCCTCCATGATTATAATTACCAGCACTTTCTCCTGTCTGTGGCATCCTCCATCTTTATTCGTGTGAATATACCCTATGGAATCTGTAAGTCCTTTCAATTATCCTACCCTGGGTAATCAATATAATGTCTTATATAAAAAGGGACTCTATTATTAATTTATAAAAATATCTTTATTTTTGTGCTTTTCTACATTATGAATCTCAAAAAAGTCTTGTCCAGTTCCAAAAGAAAAAGTGTTAAGATTTTGCTTGGAGTTTTGCTAAATATATAGATCTATGTATTGAGTCAGAATCAACAATTTTCTAACATTTCCAACTTCCTTTCATGCCCTTCATTACAAGAGAGATGAGCACATACACACCAGTTAAAGATAAAAGCAACACAACAGGGCACATGTGTAAGGAAATGGAGAGGGGAGGTAGTGGTGGTCGTAGATACAGACAATTCTAAGGTGCCACTGGACTATTCTAAAAGCTACCATCTATTAACTATTTACTTGGTGCCAGGAACTCTTCCAAGCACTTTGCATACAGTAACTTGCTTCATTCTCACAACAACAAATGAAGTAGGGGTAGATGATAGATGGATAGATAGATTATAGTTAAATAGATAGAGATAGATGATAGAGAGAAAGGAGATAGATGGATGATAGACAGATTAGATAGATAGATAGATGATAGATAGATAGATAAGTAGATAGAGATCATGTGTGGACACTGACTTTTGGAGAAGTTAAGTAACTTACTCAAGGTCAAACACTGAGGAGAGACAGACTTCAGACACAGGGAGTGTGACCCCAGAGCTGAAGTTCTTAACCAACACTCTAGGCTTCTAAGCAAATTAGCTAATAGTCCAGGACAGGACAAAGTTAGTATGCAAAGTTAACCCTGCATCTATGGTGTGTGTGTGTACTTGCTTGCCCTAGTTGGAGGGAGAAGCAAGATTTCTGGAGGGAAGTATTTGACGTGGTTGCAAAGTCCCCGTTTTCAGTACGTATTCCCTATTAGGAGAGGATCCCTCTCCATGTCTTTCATTAGACCCCAAGAGGCAGAGAATTCAGCTCGAGAGGGGCCCTCAGCAAGCTTGCCTAGAGGAGCTATTCCCAGGGTGATGCTTAGTCTTTTCAGCACATATTGGATTACACAAACCTTGCCAGAAACCAGTCACTAAACCTGTATATCAACGGAAGTCTGAATACATACTTAAGCGAACGCTAAGGACATTCTGCGAGCCTGTAAGGGCCTGAAATGTGCAGCCCTTCAGCACTGACCAAAACCACAGGATGGCAGAGAAAAGCTCAGTGAAAACTGACAGTAACTAAACTTGACAAGATGATGCCCTGACATAGTTAAGTACCACCCTTAAGTCAGGTAGAATCTGAAGACAAGAAAGACTTCACACATTATTAGGACAAGTTGCACTTAAGTATATCTAACATCTGAAAAGAAACACCTCTGCCATTCATCTAGAAAACAAGTTGTATCATGTTCAAGAAATGCTTGCTTTCTTCAGCATTCTAAGGGAAAGTGAGTTTCCATGCATTTTCTCAATGGTCTGGACTGGGTGGACCCCATCTGAACAATTATAGTCCAACAGTCAAAATCCTAGTGATCCCAGTGGATAAGCCCGGTTTTTTTGTAGACAGTTGCTCTGTTCAGGCTAGAATGAATATCCTCAGCTAAAACCTTTCCTACTTAAGGATTTAAACAAGCATCAGCCACAGGCAAATGTAAGCTGCTTTATAATTCAGTAAACTGGTCCAAGGGTTCTCATGTCTGCTTCTGGAATCCAGATTTCTCAAGTTTAGAGGGGTCCTAATTAGCTGAAGTTAATAGCATTTACACAGGTCTCCACTGCTGTGTAAGCCTCTTATAGCCTGAGGACGGAGCATAATCTTACATAAGCACTAATCTTATCCTATACCGGGCCTCCATCTCACTAGATGCAATTGCCCTATTTTGGCGACATGGCAGAAGCCTGCACTGTGCCAGGATACCAGCCAGAGATAGAATTATTGGAACTGGCATAAAGCTGCTTTGGAAAAACAACAAAAAGAGCAATGCCCAGGATTTTCACCCACTCTCATCCACTCAGTTCAATGCTGATTTTCTGAGGAGCAGGATTTGGAGCCATTGTATCCTTAATCTACTTGTAAATACTCTAAATTTTTACATACAAGATACTTTCTGTCCACACTTGCTTGGACCCTCCTTTGCTAGCCGCCACCATCTGCACTGTCCAGAGTCAGAGGCTTTAACATCATGCAAGGAGCGTGGTCTAGTCATTACTAGGATTCTGATCTCCCGCATTGTCTCTGCATAGGTGTTCTAGTCGTAGCCTCCAGCTCAGAGAAATATATCTATAGTTTTACCAAGCTCTCGTACTTCATATTCAGTAGGCTCTGAGGGCTGTAGACAAAGACGCCAAAGTTTGCAAAAGGACGTTCTATTTCATTATCAGTATTATAAGGTATTTTTGGCATCCACCATTTATCAAAAAAGACAAGCTCATTAGAACCTTTCTAACTGTCATTTACTGGGGCCAAATAAGAAAGCAGGAAGGATCTCATTTTCCAAATAAATTCATACATCACATAGAAGACTAGAAGGATCTTCAATCCTATTCTTTCCATTCCCAGTCATGGTTGCTGTAAGATGGCCCCAGTGATCCCACCTCCTGTTGTACTAGGGTTGGTCCATATGACCAATAGATTATGGCAGAAGTGATAGTGTGTCACTTCTGAGATAGTGGTATAAAAGACACTGTGCTTCCATCTTGCACTTTCTCTCTCTCTCTCTAATTCTCCATCTCTTTTTGCAGTTCACTCACTCTGTGAAAAGTCAGTTGCCAAGTCCTGAGCAGCTCCACAGAGAGGCCCACATGGTGAGCAACTGAGGCCCCCTGCCAGCAGCCGTGTGAGTGAGCTCGAAGCAAATCTTTCAGCCCCAGTCAAATATTCAGATGACTGATGCCCCAGCCAACAGTTTGGCTGCAACCTCACAAGAAACTCTGAGCCACAAGCCTCCAGGTAAGCCATTCCTAGAACTCTGATCCTCAGAAATTGAATGATGGATGGGCGAGATAATAAATGTTTGTTGTCTTCAGCTGCTGGGTTTGGGAGTTAAGAAACAACAGATATCTGATCTACTAGGCTGCCAGAGAGGACAAGAAAAATCCATCACATCACGTGCCATGGGCGCGTCCCCTGGTTCCCTTTACTCATTCTCCTCTGCCCAAATCCAGGAGTTTTGGAGCTGGAGCATTAAGAAATATTACAAA